ATTTAATTTCAGAAGAGTCTGGCTACAAAGGGAGGTGGGGTTTTAAAGTCCAAAATACACACACAAAAAATAGAACTTCAATTCAGTGTGAAATGGTATCAAATGTGTTAACTTAGAACAGTTTTAGATTAAATATTTGTCCCTTTTGTTGTTGTTGTTATGTGCCATTGAGTTGCTTATGACTCATAGCGACCCTATGTAGAAGAGCCCTAAACACTGCTCTATCCTGTGCCAATCTCGCTGTCTCCAACACACTCATTCCCACCACCCCAATAACAGAACTGACCCATCTCATCGAAGGTCTTCCTCTCCTTCACCACCCCTCCACTATCCCAATCACAATGTCCCTCTCCAAGGACCAGTCCCTCCATGCAACATGCCCAAAGTATGTCAGACGAGGCCTCAGAATCCTTGAGTCCAAGGACCATTTTGGTTTTACCCTCTCCTTTTACAAATGAAACAAACAAACAAACAAACAAAAAAGGTCTTATACCTTTCCCCAGTAAAGCCTCAGTCCAAAATCTTTTCCTGAAGCTGGTACATGGGATTTGGACTTATATCCTCCTAAAAGTGAGACAAGCATCAGCCTGAGAGACCAGCAGCAGTGGGTGCTGTAAGACATCATAGAAGTGACTTGTGGCCCAAGCCAACATATCAAGGAGTGGCCGGGGGAGAGAAGTGCTGGACCAGGTAGGCAGGAGTGCAAGGGATGCTGAAATAGCAGGGAAAAGGAAGGGACAAGTCATATGAACTGGGATGTGGGGAGAGTGAATGTATTGGTTATTTCTGTAAGGGAAGTATCTTTCATCTGTTCCTTTCAATAATGCTTGTCTGTCAGATATCATTCTAAAACTAAGCATTTAAATTAAGACAGAGTAAGAAGAAGTATTGGCCATCCACTTCTGAAATATATCAGGCCTTTGAAAACCCTATGTACAGGAGAGCACACTTAGAGAAGACTAACAGATATGGCAACTGAGGGTGAGCCATCAAATATGGAAACACAAAGGAGGAGGAACAGTTGTAAACATAAACTAATGACTGGAACATGGAATGTGAGAAGCATGAATGTAGGAAAACTGGACATTGTTCAGAAAGAAATGGAATACATAAATATTGACATTTTAGGTAGTCACAAAATTAGATGGATTGGCACAGGATGTTTTGAATCAAACAATCATATGATCTATTACACTGGAAATGAAAAGGTAAGAAAAAAGAGGATCAATTTCATAGCTAAAAAGGCCGTTTCTAGAGTCACCTTGAAATACAATATTGTGTGTGACAGGATATTATCCATACACACACAAGGAAGACTTGTTAATACCACTATCATTCAAATTTATGCACCAACATTCAGAGTCAAAGAAAGATAAATAGATGATTTCTACCAACTATTGCAGTCAGAGATAGATTAAGCATGTAACCAAGATGCATTAATAATAATGGGTGACTAGAGTGCAATAGTTGGGAACCAGAAAGAAGAACAAATTGTCAAAAAACATGGACTTAGTGACAGAAATGAGGCTGGGAGTCGAATGATAGAATTCTGACTAACGATTTGTTTGTTTCACATACCTTTTATAAGTAATATAAACGCAGGATATACACATGTATTTCACCTAATGGGATGCACAGGAATCAGAACAATTACATCTGTGGAAGGAATCACTGGAAAAGTTCATTATCAGCAGTGATAACTAAGCCAGGTGCTGATTGTGGAACAGACCATCAACTACTCATGTGCAAATTCAAATTAAAGCTAGAGACAGTCAAATCATACCTACAGGAATCACAATTTGATCTTGACTCGATGCCCCCTGAATTAAAAAATCAACTCAGGAACAGGTTTGAGGCCTTAAACACTAATGAACGAAGACCAGATGAGCAGAAGATATTAAGAATATCATCACCACCACCTCCAAAAAGGAATATTTTCCCTGAAAAATGCAAAAGGTCATTACAAAGAAGGAGGAAGAAGAAAAAAAGAACAAAACGAATGTCAAAAGAGACTCTGAACATTGCAATAAGCACTGAGAAACCAAAGCAAAGGGAAGAAACCAAGAAATTAAGGAGCTGAAAAGAAGATTTCAAAGGGTAGCTTGGGAAGACAAGGTAAAGTATTATAATTAAATGTGCATGGAGCTGGAGGTAGAAAATTTTAAAAGCCCAAACTCATTTAGCATTTCTTAGGCTGAAAGAACTAAAGAACACAAATTAAAACTATGAAGTGCAATGCTTAAGGATGCTATGGACAGAATATTGAATGATTCAGGAAGCATTAAAAGAAGCTAAAAGGAGTAATACAAAGTCAGTGTACCAAAAAGAATTCGATGACACAGAAGTATTTCAAGAATCCACATACGATCAAGAGGCAATGGTGATTAAGGAAGAAGGTCTTGGAAAAAAAATAAAAGCCCCCAGAATTGATGGCATACCAACTGACATATTTCAACAAAGAGATGCTGCTCTGGATGTGCTCACCAGGTTGTGACAAGAAATGTGGAGGACAACTATCTGGCCAAATGACTGGAAAAGATCCATAATTGTCCCCATTCAAAATAAAGTATCACTTATATCACATGCTAGCAAAATCCTGCTGAAGATTATCTAGAAACAACTGGAATAGTACATTGACAGAGAATATAACATGGGTTTAGAAGCAGCTGTGGCACTAGAGACATTATCTCTAATGTCATATGGATGTTTGCAGAAAGCAATGAGTACCAGAAAAATGTTTAGCAGTGTTTCATTGACTATGCAAAAGTGTTTGTGTGAATCACAACAGTTGTGGTTAACCTTGAGGAAAATGGGAATCCCAGAGCATGTGATTACACTTATACTAAACTGGGACCAGGGAGCAGTCCTCAGAACAGAGCAAGGAAGCACTGCATGGTTCAAAATCAGTGAAGGAGTGTGTCAGGGATGCATCCTGTCTCCATATCTTTTCAATCTAAATGCAGAACAGAGCATTTGGGAAACGGCTTTATGAGGAAGAATGTGGCATCAGGATTGGAGGAAGACTTATCAACCACTTAAGTCATGCAGATGACACAACTTTACTGGCTGAAATTGAGGAGGACCTGCAGTGTTTGATGCAAGGATTGTAGTCTTCAATGTGGACTGAACCTCAACATCAAGAAGACAACGATTCTCACCACTGGGCCAATTGGCAGCATCATGATAGAGAAGAGATTGAGCTTGTTAACAATTACAGCTTGCTCAGCTCAAATCAACAATTTTGGCACCAGCAGTCAGGAAATCAAAAGACAAATTGCACTGGGAGAATCTGCTGTCAGGGACTTTTTCAGAGTACTGAAAAGTAACAATGTCAGACTAAGGTGCATCTTATCCAGGTCATGGTTTTCTCAGTTACTTGCTATGTATCAGAGATCTGGACAATGACTAATGATGACAGAAGAAGAATCAATGCCTTTGAGTTCTGGTGCTGGAGAAGAGCCTTGTACATACCATGGACTGCCAAGAAAATAAATAGGTCTGTCTTGAAAAGAGTAAAACTAACTTTCTCCTTGGAGGCTAAGATTTTGAAGCTTTGTCTCACATATTTTGGGCACGTGGCCAGGAGGAACCCACCCTTCTAGAAGGACATCATACTCAGAAGGGTGGAGACCCTGGATGAGATAGATGGATACAGTAACTGGGACAATGAGTGTTGGTGTGGTGGAATTAGTGATACTGGCTCAGTACAGGACATGCTTTAGAGCTGCTGTACATAGGGTCACTATGGGTCACAGGTGACTTGATGGCACATAATAACACAATAATTGTTTAAATCTTAATAATAGAGGAAAGACCAAGATTTAAGTAAAACATACTGCTTAAGTACTCATTCTCTCCACATACATCTAATATTATATTTAAAATGTAATTGTTTTATTCTCCTTTCTGAGCTTTCTTTTTTCTCATGTACTCCAAAGAAACATGCTCCAAGCTATGGAATATGTATCTATTCTTATGCTTTATATTTATTCTCTTGAAGTGCCTCATGGTTTCTGCATGTCTTACAACTTCCTTGGTTTGAGCATTTTCCTCTTGTTATATCTTATTTTATAAATGTCACACAAACATTTAGAACAACTCTCGTTACATATTCACATAATACCTGAAATGTTACAAGTTGAAAATCTAATTTAACATCTCTGTGCTCCAATTTCTCATTACTACAAATGGTCCCAATACTTTAAAAGTTTGGACACTTAATTGTGTCTTCCCCTTAAATCTTTGCATTTACCTCGTTTAAACTCTTTATATTTTTCCATATCCGCTTACAGTTCTCTTCTACCAGTTTATAAAGTACACCATCATCTACCTGCATTTGTTCCTCTACCTAGAGCTGAGTTCACCTTGTTGTTGTGTGCCATCGAGTTAGAACTAACCCATAGCTGACCGTTCAGTGGTTTTTCAGAGGCAGTAAATTGCACAGGAGGAGATTACCCATCTGTCTCCTGCAGAGCAACCGGTGGAATTGAAACACATGCCTATGGGATTTCAGTACAGCTTATTAAGAGGCTAGCACAGCTCCTTAAAATGAACCTAGCTGAGTACTTTTTCAGATGCCAGACAAAATTCACTCATCCAATGAAAGAGACAGAGTGTAAGTCAAGCAATAAATTTAACATATGCTTATTTATTTGTCAATCCTCAAGCGGCATTTATGTGAAAGTACTATTAGAATCTATCTAAAGCTATGACTTTATCTCATCCTCATAAGACTGTTAGAAAGCAAACTATGCTCACAGTTTGGGAGTAAAGAAATGAAGCAGATAGATGTTACGTAAGATGAAGGGTAATAGAGGAGGTAAGCAAAAGACCAGTTCCCAGTGCAGGTTGTATGTTCTCACCACTCGATCCTATGAGGATATTGAGTGGCTAGAGTGTATAAATCTGTGCTAGTTGCTGACAGTGCAGAACCACAATACTCACAGCAAATTTAACTGTTTTTTAAAAAAAATATTATTTTACAAGCAATTTATACTTACAAGGAATATCCCTGTATCCAATTTCCAAAGCATGAAAGTAATTCATAAATTCCCTAACTGGTATTTTGAAAGCTTCAAAGAGGCCCATGTCTTCAAAAAGTCTATATGATACCTGTAAAAGAGAAAGACAAAGCCTTACCAAATGGTCTTCAGGATGTATGAGAAAAAGGAGAAGTAAAAGCAGGTTTCATTAACGGTATTTTTTTGTCAGCAGAGCGTACTTAACAGGGAATGACTAATGAAGAGTACATTCAGGTCCTCCCTGTTCTGGCCTTTCTAGTGTTTAATATCAAGGACTTTATAATCTATTTATAATGGTAGAGTATAGATATATATCATTGCAACTCTATTCACCATAACAATATACAAGCACACAGAGAACAATGCTGTGTGCCCTGTGGACAACTAGATATTAACATATACTAAATTCATGAAAAACACCATAAATACAGAAATAAATAAAGAATGAGAGATATAAAGTTTTATTTTGGACTCATTTTTACCCTCAAAAAACGTTTTTTAGATGATAATATACAGAGTTAAAATATTTAGACTATTTCCCTTTACAAGTTTCTTCCTTTCTCCACTATCTATTCCCTTTTCAATTTTTTTTTCAGTTCAAGATTTTTTTTTAATTATTATTATTAAATTTTATTAGTTTCAATGAGCATTCACAGGGATTCTGGGCTTTCACTCCTTCATTGCCGCACCATTCTCTCCACCCTCCTCCCCAGTTTGTTCTTCTTCCCCGCCATCTGAATGTCTGTTTTAATTGCCCAATTGCCACAGTGCTTGTCAAAGTCAGTTCTGATTAATCTCCTTTGTCGGTGTGTCCTTTGCCATTCCCTATCACTCCTCCCTGAGAGAGACTGGCCACATCTGACACATAAAGTAGGGAGATGGGGGGAAAAAAGGAAGATTAGAAGGTAATTATGAAAATAGATGGTTATTTACCTGATAGAATGAAGCCCTTGCATCATTTAAAATAGTTCTATGTTACATCACAAAGACTTTGGATTATTTTGAGAAAGGCTTATTCATCCTTTTATTACTGACATTATTACTAAAAATTTCTTGAGCTATTTCTTCTAGATCTTCAATATATTGCTTCAAAGCTAAATTTCTTTTAGTTTAATTTTAATCTATTCAAATTAACTAGTATTTTTCAGTTATATAGTCACTGTTTATAAGATATATATATAGTATAAGCACACATACATTCAAACCTTCCAAAAGATTGAATTCACTTAGCATTTATTGATTTGTCTACTATTTGTCAGACGTTTTCTGTGTCTATGACACATATGGTGAACAAAAGAAAAATCTGTTTCCTCCTGGAGCTTAGCCTCTAGCAAGGGAGAACAGTAAACAAAACGTTGTGATGGCTGTTACATGCTGCTGAGGTGGAATTAACTCATAGCTAACCCTCCAAGCAGTTTTCAGAAGCTGTAAATAGAACAGAAGGAGACTGCCCATCTTCATCCTGTGGAGTGACAACAGGTGGATTCAAATTGCCTTCCTTTGTGTTGGTAGCACAATTCCTTACCACTAGGCCACTGGACCACCTTACAGTAATTGATAGCCATAATAAATGAGTACGTTATACACACTGTTAAAAGGTGATAAAGTCAAATGGTCAAAATAAAAAGTGGAGCTGGAATGGAGGATTAGGAGTGTAGAGTTAGGTCATAGTTGTCACAGAGTGTTAGGACATTGAAAATGAGCATACTGAATTTTATGAGAAAAAATTGGAGGAGGTATGCAGTAAGTTACACAAATAGCCAAAGATAAAGTTTTCCACACAGATAGTTCAAAGGTCTTAAAGTCTGCTTAATGTGTTCAAAAAACAGGTATTAAAAGGCCAGCATAGCTAACACAGAGTGAATGAGAACAGAAATAGGAAATTAAGTCAGATAACTGTAGGGTTGAGGGTTGGATTTAGATCAGTGTTTTAGTAGCTAGATGGATTATTAAGGGGGCTTTTATTTTGAGTGAGGTGGAAAGCTTTGGACAGAACCATGACTTATCTAATTTATATTTTGAAAGAAGCACTTTTGCTGCTGGTTGAGAACACTTTATTCATAATTATTCTGCATAATTTATTAATCTCAACTTATTCATGCTTTCTCCAGATAAGGAAGAGTTTTTATTCTTTTTCTTTCTGTGTAACAAGCATTCCTAGCTATCCTCTTTAAAAGTGAAGTAGTGCAAAGTTAACTTTTTAGTATCTGTCATATATATTTCAAGCTAAATCTTCTTTTAGTTGTCTCTTTTTTTACCATAATTACTTCAAATTATATTTTAATTCTTATTTACTTAGGTGTTTGTTAACTATGTGTTACTTCAATAATAATTGCTACAGCAGTAATGACAGTGCACATAAATGTGACATTTAATAAGTGAGAGGCCTGATCTAAATACTTTAAATGTTAATTTTTTACATATAACCGATCTTTCTCACAATTTATGAGATACAGATTATTAACTACCAATATTTGAAAGTAGAGGAAATTGAAACACAGGGAGTTACTAAATTGTCTAAGGTCATAAATATCAAAGGCAGGATTCAAGATTAACTTTTTGGCTTCAACTATTGTACTCTTAACTGCATCAAATCTTTCAGTTATTTCAAAAGTCACGTCATTGTTGTTAATTGTCAATGAATTGATTCTAAATCAGTGAGCTCATAAAACAAAATACATTCTCTATTTTTCTCTAAGTCAAGTTCAAACAATAAAATATGAAAACCAGGATATTTCAGAGTATTGTTCTTGTGTACCATAGAGTTGGAAATGACCCATAAATGATCCTCCGAGACGTTTTCAGAGGCAGTTAATCACACGGGAAGGGACTGTCCATCCCTCTCCCTCAGAGAAGCTGGTGGCCTCAAACCGCGTGCCTTTGGATCGCAGCACAGCTTCTTCTTCTTTTTTTTTAAATAAAATTTTAATTGTGATTTTAACAAACATTTACAGAGAAGTTAAATTTTCATTCATCGTTGCACATTTTCCTCCCTTGCTCTCCCTTCCCCCTCCCCCTGATCACTTTCATTCATTGTTGCACAATTTCCTCCCTCCCCCTCCTCAGTCCTCTTTACAATGATTTATCTCTTATTCTGGCTGTTGTCATTTTTCTTGTCACTTGAACACCAGAGCATTATTTTAAAATAAAATATCAAAAAGCTACTAAAATTGTTACTGTTAGTTGTCATTGAGTTAAATACGACTCATAGTGACCATATGAACAACAGATCAAAGCCTGTCCTGTCCAGTATGATCCTCATCTTCTCTGATAAATACACTTGAGCCTTTTTCTGCAGTCAGTGTGTCAATTCATTTTGTTGGAGGTCTTCCTCTCTTTCACTGACCTTTCCAAGTGATATCCCTTTCCAAGGAATACCCTCTCCTAGCAACTTGTACAAAGTGAGAGATGAAGCTTTGCCTTCCTTGCTTCCAAGGAATACTCTGGCAGCACTTTTTCCAAGATATCTGTTCACTCTTTTTGCAGTCTATAGATATTCAGTATTCTTCTCCATTATCACAACTCAAAGGTATCAAAATTAGTGACCAACAGACGTAATGGTCATTTCAAACTCATTAAAAATGACACTAATATCTGCGTACAAATCTGTAGGATGTTATTTTAAGTTTGGCGAATAAACACAAAAATCATCCAACAGGCAAACAGTATATTGAAGTTGAGAAGTTTCCTTTGCATGTAAATCTCTTTAAAGATCTTCTGATGTGATACTATTTCTGCGTAGTCTCAGCCAAAAGGTGATTTCTTGGAATGTTAATGCTAATTTAGCTGTTCTAAAGTCTAAGTTAGGAAGAAAAAAATAGCCATTCTTGTAAAAAGTCTTCTAAAAAGTGTAGGCAGAGTGCTCCTTAGAAGCAAGATAGTGAAACCATAGTGGTCTTGTGTAGTAGTTATGTAACTGAATTATTTTACTCAACATAATACACTTTAATTCTCAGCATAATACTCCCATGTTATATAATATTATACCTTTTATATCAATATGGATTGAAGCTCAACATCAAGAAAACAAAGATTCACGCCACTTGGGCTAATTAACAGTATCATGAGAGATGGTGAAGAGATTGGGATTGTTAACGGCTTTAGTTTTCTTGACTCCACAATCAACACTTTTGGTACCAGCAGCCAGGAAATAAAAGATGAATGGCATTGGGAAAATCTGCTGTCAGAGACATCTCCAGAGTACTGAAGAACAATGATGTCTGTCTGGAGACTAAGGTGCACCTGATTCAGGTCATTGTCTCTGTAATTACTTGCTATGTATCAGAGAGCTGGACAATGACTAGGAATGATAGGAGAATTGATGCCTTTGAGCTGTGGTGCTGGAGGAGAGTACTGAACATACCATGGACGGCTAAGAGAATAAACAGGTTTGTCCTGGAGAAAGTAAAACCAGGCAACTCCTTGGAGGCAAGGATTCTGACGCTTCATCTGAAATACTTTAGGCACGTTGTATGGAGGGACCAGTTCTTGAAAAGGGACATTATACTTGGAAGTGTGGCAAGACAGTGCAGGAGGGAAGACTCTCGAGGAGATGGATTGACTCAGTGACTGGAGTAATGGGGATAGGTGTGTTGGAGACAATCAGGTTGGCTCAGGATGGAGCAGGATTTAGGGCTGCTCTGCATAGGGTTACTAGGAGTCACAAGTGACTTGACTAAACATAACAACAACAATTCTTTGATGCTTCTTATATCACTGAAGATTTTGCCAGTAGAATCTTTCAGTATTGCAACTAGAGGTTTGAATTTGTTCGTTAGTTCCTTCAGCCTGAGAAATCCTGAGAGTGTTCTTTCCCTTTTGGCATTAACTCCAAAACTCCAATTTTTCACACATTTTATTATAATCTTTCACTCTGTCTTCTTAGATTACCCCTTGAAATTTTCTGCTCAGCTATTTTTCCATTGCATTCCTTCCTCGTTTTGACTCTCCCACCCCCATCAATGCAAGTTTCAGAGTCTCTTCTGACATTCATTTTGCACTTTTCTTTCTTCCCTGATTTTGTTTTCCTTCTTCATAGAATGACATCTTTGATGTCATTTCACAACTTGTCTGGTCTTTGATCATTAGAGTTCAGTGTATCAACTTCATTCTTAACATGGTTTTTAAAAGTTTACAAAATATTACAGGGCCTCAAAAAGAAAATTTCTGATAACCCAATTACAAAAATGGACAAAAGACATGAAAGAATTTTCACAAAATAAGACCTTTGGATGGCCAATGGGCACCTGAAGAAATGCTCAGAATCACAGGCATTAAGAGAGAAGCAAGTCAAAACCACAATGTGATACAATCTCATCCCATTAGCAGTGGCAAAGTATAACAGGTCAGTAAGCAATAAATGTTGGAGAGAATGTGGAGAGACTGGAATTCTCATATGCTGTTCGTGGAATTGTAAAATAGTACAACCATTGGAAGGCAGTTTGGCATTTCCTCATAAAGCAGACCATAGAAACTCCATATGACCCAGCTATTCCACTACTAAGAATATACTCCAAAGAAATTAATTATGAGACACAAATGGAGATTAGTACACCAATGTTCATAGCCACGTGTTGGTTTTTTTTTTTTTTCACAATCACAAGAACATGGAAACAGCACAAATGTCCAACCACAGTTGAATGCATTGGCAAACTGTGGTACATTCACACAATGGAAAACTACACAGCACTCAGGAGCAATGATTCTGAAAATTACTATATAACTTGGGAGAGACTGGAGAGCATTATGGTAAGTGAACTCAGTCTCATAAGGACAAATATGAAATAAAACCATCATTGGCGAGGGGAAATCACAAGGTCATAGGTGACCCGGCTTTATCTCAACCGAGGATAGCTTAGAGCAACATGAAAGCCACCCCAGCACTGGAACTGTCAGGCAAGCCTCATATACAGAGAAAAAAATGAGGCTTCCTCTGATTGCATTTTTCATGGAAGTATTAAAATCCCCAATGATTCTGTGTTGTGTTTGCAGTTCTCACCTAAGTTTTATTTTTTAAAACAATTGGTAAATTTGCTTATTTCTGTAGTGAGAATTACTTAAATCTTTAAGAACAATCATAAAACATTTCTAAATAAGTTGACAAAAAGCAACAAACATTTTCCTTTGAGAGTATATTTGGGTACATATTAAGTAATTTGGCAAATCCATCATTTTATATTGTTTTGCTTTATGAACATAAATACATTAAAATTTATAAATTTTGTACCAGTTTATCCTTTAAAGAAACAAATTATTTTTTAATTGGGAAGTTTGAGCGTAATTTAGCTTCAAACACACACACATACTCAAACACACAGACACATGTTTGTTATATAGCAAGAGTTCTCATCCACATTTCTTGTGCTAAACACAGGTATTTTCCATATTAAAATGCAGAAAAATATTTTTTATTTTTTCCTCACATCATTCAGAGGAATCATATTTCTACACAACACATTATTTTTAAAAGACCTAAGTGTTATGCAAATGACACAATCCTGCTCAGCAAAACTGATGAGGACTGGAAACATTTGCTGCAGATGATCAAAGACTTCAGTATGGATTATATGTCAACATCAAGAGAACAAAAATCCTCACAGTAGGCTAATAGGTAGCATCATGGCAGATGGAGAATAGACTGAAGTTGTTAACAATTTTATCTTGCTTGGATCCACACCAACACCCTTGGCACCAGCAGTCAGAAAAACAAAAGATAGTTTCACTGGGGGGAAAAATCTGTTGTCAAGGACTTCTCCAGTGTGCTAAAGAACAATGATGTTACTCTAGAGTCTAAGGTGTGTCTGTACCAGGTTGTGATCTTTTCAATTGCTTGTTATGCATCTGAGATCTGGACAATGACTAAGGACGACAGAAGAATAATTGATGTCTTTGAGTTGTGGTGCTGGAGAAGTGTATTAAACATACATTGAACTGACTGTCAAGAGAACACACAGGTCTGTCCTGGAGCAGGAGGGTGAAACCAGGTTGCTCCATGGAGGCAAAGATTTTGAAACTCTGTCTCACATACTTTGGGCACGTTGTCACTAGGGACCAGTCCTTGGGAGAACGGTATAATCCCTGGAAGGGTGGAAAGTCAGTGCAAGATAGGAAGATCCTAGCTGAGCTGGACTGACCAGTGACTGTGGCAATATTGTCAGGTATGTCAAAGATGGGGAGGATGGCTCTGGACAGGGCAAGGCTCAGAGCTGTTGTTCACAGTTGACTTGACAGCACGTAACAACAATAATAACACAAGGACTGTAATATTTACATGCTACGAATTAATTCTTGAAAAATGTAAACAATAGGTTAGTGTTTTTAATAACAGGTTTTGGGGCTTGTGCTGTCTTTTTTTGCTACATTCTAGGAATTTTAGGCTATTTGCTAATCATTTATTCACTTATTGCCTCTTCTTAATATATACATATTTTAAATGAAGAATATATGCTATTCTACTCACTTGAAAGTTACACTTTCTGAGCAATTTTTTTAAGGGAAAAGCGAACTAAGGGGTGAGTAGGGAGGAAAATGTGCAAAAATGAATAAGTGGAAGTCAAGTTCTCTATAACTTTCATTAAAATCTAAATTAAAGTTAAAGAAAAAAGAAAGTCCCCATTACAATGAATTATATAGGGTGTTAAGGTTTACTTTCTTGAAACACAATACATCCACATTTTTAAGAATGGACATTATACTATTATTATTAGGTACTAGGGGAGGATGTCAAATATATCATCCAGGAAGAGTACAAACGGTCATTACAAAGACAGAAAAGGAAAAAAAGACCAAAATGGATGTCAGAAGAAACTCTGAAGATTGCACTGGAGCGTAGAGAAGTCAGAGCACAAAGAAGAATTCAAGATACTAAAGAGTTGAACAGAAGATTCCAAAAGGCAGCACGGGATGACAAAGCAAAATATTACAATGAAATGTGCAAGGAGCTAGAGTCAGAAAAATCAAAACGGCCGAACTCATTCAGCATTCCTTAAGCTCAAGGAATTGAAGAACAAATTCAAACCTCGAGTTGCTATAATCAAGGATGCTTTAGGCAGAATAT